ATGAGTAAGGGGCAGAGGAGAGTGGATTGCATAGTTGTGTCTGAGTGTGTATAGGTTGTAAATGCCATGGAAAAGGGAGGGTTACTTAGCATGGTGCAAGGGGGTATAATGAAGAGTAATATGGTGAAACTCAGCAACATAAATTTTTCACTGAATACCAGTGAAACACCATGGAACAGCCTTCCAAAGAAGTGGTAGAAGCCCCATCACTGGAGCCATTTAAAAGTAGACTGTACACATAATTAGAAAATGTAATGTAGAGAGCAAGCATATACCAGCTAGTGAAGCCCTAGATGATCTAATAGATACTTTCAATCTCTAATTTCTGTGTTTTCACCCGTTGCAAGGTTTGTCAGCAAAATTGTTCAGCTGCTGTATGAAGAGTAACCTGCAGAGCCAAAGAATCCCTGTTTGGCTAAACATTACTCCTGGAAAGAGCTCGTAGTCACACTGGTAACCTCTTATGTAAAAAGAATGGTGCTGACCATTCTTATTGAGTTAGTTATTCATTGTTAGATCGACTATACCATATTCTCCAAACATTGTAATTAAAGATATTCCAATATTTTAAAATACAAATGCTGATTTTTTTCCTTGTAAACTTTCCATTGTATATTTTAGCCATAATTGTACTGCTCTGAAATACTATCTCCCAGGAGGTGGTATCTGCCTTCCACTATGCTAAGAAGCCTGTTTTGTTTCAAAGTAATCTGCACTGAAACACAAAGCCTGTGCATTTCAGTAATTAAAATTTTCAAGACAATGGTCCTTGGATAGTCCAAAAAAAAAAAAAAAACCAGCATCTCAGGGTAAACAATTCATGTTTTAGGTTTGAATATACTCCCAGAGTGCCTCCACGGATATACTATGGCTGAAAAGCCTTTTCCCCTCGCTTTCCCTATGACATCTGTCCCATGTCTACCACATCTGCTGAAGTTGGGCACTGAGCTCTGCATTTGATCCAAAGTGAGCAGGAGCTCAATATCCTGTATATTTATGTTTCGACGGGAGTTTTCAACAGCAGCTCAGAATAATAGTTTAATGTCTTTTGCAAAAATGAGGAAAAATAATAGATTCAAAGTTCAGCCTAACCCTGCTTCCACTGAAATAATTGGCAAATATTGCATAGACTTGAAAGGAAGCAAGATCAGGCCACGCCAGTGTCATATCTGAGGTTATTTTAGCATTCAGCACCTAACATGAGAAAGAAAGGTTGTCTACAGTTGTTTTAGCACACTGTGCCTTGTTCCAAAGGTTAGTCTGTGCTATGGTTTTAAATGAATTTCTACAAATTATTTTAAAAATTCTTTTAGATCACTGCTTAAATGGGATGGCTCAAGTAATTGTCCTCCCCACAAATACCATTTTATTTTGATTCACTGATTCTTAGAAGTGCTTATACCTTGACCCATTTGTGTCTAAATGCCCTTCATATTGTTAATCACAGACAAATCTGTATGTAAACCCGTGTTTGGTTAAAAGGAAGTGTTTCTCAGATCCATTTTATTGAATATTGGTTTATAACTGTTGTCATCCCTGTATATTTTCCACCATAATTCAGAAAGTAGGATATATTTTGCAATATGCATGTACAAATGTTCTCGTTGTAAGAGTTATCAAACACCAGGAGAACAATAGTGCACTGAGAATTGCTATATACTGTTGATCTCTTACTTTTATTAAATGCAGTCATATGTAGGGCTAAAATTCCAGATGGGTCTTCAGAGGGAGTTGAGTGAGTGTTCTTATGAGTGCAAAAGCTTGCACTGCATTCAAATTACAATGCTAGATATAAAATGATAGATAATACCACAAAAACAATTTTATATTTTCTTTTTATCCTGTCTCTCTTAATTCCCATTTATTCTAATGGAAAAACTTGGTAAAACCTATTCTTTCCCTGAAAGATTGATTGATTGATTTGTTTGTTTATTGATTGATTGTTATTCCAGCAATGTCTGGAGGCACCAAATGAGATCAGGGTTCCCTTGTGCTAGGCACTGTACATATGCAAAGTAAGATATAGTCCCTGTCCACAAAAGCTTATGATCTAAATAGGCAAGGTAGATAAAAAGTGGAAGAAAGAGAGTATTACCACCAGTTTGTGGATGGGGAATTGAGGCACAGATTGATTAAGTGATTTGTCCATGCTCATGCGGGAAATCTGTGATAGAGTTGGAAATTGAAGAGAGATCTCCAGCCTCCTTACCGACAAGACCCAACTTTCCTTTCAAATTTTGTTCATTTTTATTTAACAGTATTCCCCTCATCAATACAACTAGCTCTTCATCATCCATGATTCTTATGGTGCACAGGACAACATTGCTTCACCTTATTTATTTCCAGTCATTGTTGTTAGCATTATCAATTAGACCAACACAACATGGAGAACAGAGCTTGTTCATTATTCTGTGTTCCCTTTATTGGCTGCCTGCTTGGTTCTGTTAGCACACCAAATAAATAAATAAATACATAAACAAAAATTATAAAAACTGTATATACAGTAGCTTTTTCGTGTTCTAGGTTAAAGAAGAATGGATTAAAAAGAAATGTAAATACATATATTCATATATTATATGTAGACTCTTAGACTTTAAGGCCAGAAGGGACCATCATGATCATCTAATCTGACCTCCTGCACGTTGCAGGCCACAGAATCTAACCCAGTGACTCCTGTAGTAGGCCCATAATCTCTGGCTGAGTTACTGAAGTCCTCAAATCTTGATTTAGAGACTTCAATTTACAGAGAATCCACCATTTACTCTACTTCAAATCAGCAAGTGACCTATGCCCCATGTAACAGAGGAAGGCAAAAAAAAAATCCAGGGTCTCTACCAATCTGACCTGGGGGGAAATTCCTTCCCATCCCTGAGCATGTGGGCAAGACCTACCAGACATCTGGGAAAGAATTTTCCATAGTAGCTCAGAGCCCTCCACATCTAGTATCCCATCTCTGGCCATCGGAGACATTTGCTAGTAGCAGTTGCGGACGGGGCCATATACCATTGTAGGCAACCTTAGCATACCATCCCCTCCATAAACTAATACCAAATGCAAGTGGCTGTTTATAATATAATATTTTTAAAATTAATTGGAGAAGACTTTCCACCACATTTCTACAATGTTAAAGTACTGTGCGTCAAATGATGGAGCAGGACAATTCGTCCTGTCCCTTTTTAAAGAGCAACCTCTGCTGGGCTTACTTTCTTCTTGAAATTAGACTTTGCTTCTAAAATTTTAAGAATATTGCTGTGTTTTTTTTAAATCTTTGGTTATTTGAACTTGAAAGCATTTCCCTTTTCTTGATCTAGTTTATCTGAACTCATAATCTAGGCTTAAAGCCGAGAAGTCTCCCATTGCAATATCCCTTCAAGTCATCTCAGGTTAGCTTTGCTTTCTTTGTTTTCTATTCTGAGGTCACACTTTAAAGAGATGAGTGGCAGGGCCTTCTCAGGGCAGGGTCCCAGTCTTTTTCCAGATATGTCTTCCCCGCTGGAGATATTTCCAGATCTTGGTGTAAAATCTTTCTATTTTTGCAAGTTTCTCTCTAACCTCATTAGTCTCTGTGATCGGTGTCGGTCCGCCTACCCGCTAGGGGGCGGTGGGGAGCTACGTCGTCACGGGCTGGCCGGGGTTACGCCTCCGCCAGCGGGGAATTAGCAGCGGAAAGGCTGCCAGCCAGAGTCTGTAGCGCGCCCCTCAGGCAGGGGAGCACCGGCAAAGGTCAGTGGCGCGCCCCTCAGGCAGGGGAGGGCCGGCAAAGGTCAGTAGCGCGCCCCTCAGGCAGGGGAG